CTGACTACCCTCAGTCCTGGGCAGGATGAGGTTGTAAGGAGAAAACTGCAAACAAATCCTCAACTCTTAGTAGTACATTTGTCTACTGTATATGCAAAGTGATTCTCACACAATATTAGTTTTATTATAAGACTGAGCAATAAGTAAATGTGTTGATGTTGGGAGCCAGGATGTTGCTGGAAGTCATTCTTAACACAATGAACAAGAAAAATGCCATTATGGAAAAGGAAGAAAGCAAGAAAGAACCCAGTGGGGATAGACTGGAATGGCAGAATGGGAGGTGTGAAGTAATAGTATATAAAGTATGTAAATATGCATGTATATTGGAGCAAGAAATGCAACCCACTCCAGTGTTCTTGCCTGGAAAATTTCATGGATAGAAGAGTCTGGCGGGCCACAGTCCATGAGGTCACAGAGTCGGACATGGCTATGCGTGTACACACAGATACACTCATGCATGTATAAATAGGGCACATTAGGTTTTGCATATGTGCTTATATATAAATTCATACAATTGTCTGCTGAAGGACATTCTGGTAGCAAAGAGCTCAGCTAGCACCCAAAGGAACCAGGGCTTCTTCGAGAAATGGCTGACTCTATGGCTGGAGCAGTGCAGATACCAAATGAGCCTGGAACACCTTGTTAGGCCAGAATGTAAGGAAATACTTAAAAAAAATGGGAGCAAGTCTCAGGGGCAGAGAAGTCAGCTTGAATAGGCTCCCACTGGCAAGCACAACAATGAATTATTATGAATCCTTACTGCCAATAAGGTAGACAGACAGACAGATATATAGACAGACAAAGAAGAAACAAGGATAAGCTCTTGCTAAGAGGACACGTCAGTGCCGACTGGTAAATATGGAGGAAATGCTGAAGTTGGAAAATCATGATTTTGCAACTATCATGGTGAATATTAAATCAGGCAAGAATGACGACAATGGGTACTAAATCTCGGGGGAAATTTTGATGAGAAGCAGAATACTGTATGATTTTAAAATGCCTTTTTAGTAGTTGTGAAGGGGAAGAAAAGTACATATTGGAAAATCAGACAAGGTTTTGAAGAGGAACATCACAATTCCCACTGCTACTGAAGGACAGATGAACTCTGTGTATCTGCAGATAAGGATGTCCTGAAAAGGATGTAGGAAGATCTATGGAGTATTTCCACCAAGAATGCACACTCTAAATCTAATAAGAAGGAAATGTCAGAAAATCACTTATATATAAAATGAAACGGATGCATTCTTCTGTATCATTATGACTGGGAAAGAGAGAACATAAGAAAACAAATGAAGTAATGTGTCAAAGATAGGTGACTCTAGATTAAAAGTTTAGGGTACTTTTTGTACTATTTTTATTCCTATAACTTTTCTATAGAATTGAAATTATTCCCAAGGGGGGGGGATTAAGTAATGCATGCACACAGGCTCTTTGAAGAAAAAAAATCCAACAACATAAAAGTATATAAAAGGAAAAGTAAAAAATGAAAATGAAATGTCAGTCCCCAAATCTCACCTATTCTCCACTGGAAGGTACGCTTTACAAAGTCAGGATATTTAAAATTTTTCTTTTCTGTTTTGTTGCTTTAATGTGGCCAAGCCCCTAGGCTAGTGCCAAGCAATAAAAAATTGCTGTATGAACTAGCTGTTATATCACTGATTTATTGGATGGATAAGGCTTAGACGATAAAGAATTCGACTGCAATGTGGAAGACCTGGGTTTGATCCCTGGGTTGAAAAGATCCCCTGGAGGAGGGCATGGCAACCCACTCCAGTATACTTGCCTGGAGAATCCCACGAACAGAGGAACCTGGTGGGCTACAGTCCACAGGATGGCAAAGAGTCAGACACAACTGAGCAACTAAGCACAGCACACAAGCACACTTCATGATGTGCTGTCCTCCTTACTTAATCCAGACATATGTTTTTCCCAAGTCTTTTAAGTAAATGGTATCATAACACTAAGAAATTCAAGCTTATTTCATTATCGATCATCATTGATAATTATCATTATTCCCGAAACTTGCATCTCCATTATTACTGGGTTGTTTGTTCAGCCTGAATGAACGTCTTGGCTGATCTAGTATTTCCATTTCTCTATCCTTCACCTTCTAAACAGAATACTTAAATCCTGTTGACAATATTTTTCAAAGTATCTTGAATAATTCACTCCACTCTATTTTACTTTTCTAAAATTTATTTGAAAAAATTTATTTAAAATTTATTCTCTTTTCTATTTATTTGGCTACTCCAGGTCTTTATTGTGGCATGTGGGGTCTAGTTCCCTGACCAGAGATTGAACATAGTCCCCCTGTTTTGGGAGGGTGAAGTCTTAACTGCTGGAACATCAGAAGTCCCTACTTCTCCAATGTATGTATATCATCTAACTGATCTTTTTCCTGGTTCCCTTACTTTCCAAGAAGTCTCTACTCCTCCAATGTATGTATACCATCTAACTGATCTTTTTCCTGGTTCCCATACTTCTCCAAGAAGTCGATACTTCTCCCGTGTATGTATACCATCTAACTGATCTTTTTTCTGGTCCCCTTGCTGTTTATTATAATCTTCTTACAATTTATGCACAGTTATCTTCAAAATATAGCTTTCATTATGTTTTCCCTGTCTTAAAATTTTCCAAGTGACTTTTTGCAACCTGTAGAATAATCTGTAACTGATTTAACATGGATCACAATCTGCCTTCTAATTTATTGTTCTGCCTTTTGCATTCAAAGCTCAAAAATAATTCCTTCACCAATTCATTTCTTTCATACATAATAATATAGTACTCACTTCTTTCAGTTCCCTGAATATACTTTACTCTTTTGCTTCTGATTCTCTGTGATTGCAGTGCTCTCTCCAACTCTCAGCCCCAATAGTCACCCTTCATTTAGCTAATTTTTATTCATGTTTCCAGTCTCAATTTACCTGTCACTTCCAAGAGGTTTTTCTGGATCATCTGTTTCTGTGAGCCCACTATATATTCCCATATCATCCTATTCTTCCTCTTTCTCTGTTTCTGTAACTCTAGACTAATGTTTAGCTCCCTGACGGAATACAAGCTTCATGAAAAGAGGGGTATATGGAAGATAAATAGGAGAGAGAGCCTGTGATGAGGTGAGACGCAGAGTAAGAGATGGCTGTGGGTGACGACATCTCATGGAAACTCTCGCCTTCTTATATCCCTCCCACCTTCCCTGCTTCTGCCACTCTTGATCTCTCCTCGGCCACTTTTCCCACTATGACAAGAGGTCTCATTCTTCAACACACATCTGATTATTTGATTATATACACTCTGGCTAAATACCATCAGGAACAATAGCAGGATAACAACAAACTCCTTAAAAAAACAAAAACAAAAAAAACTGGCACGTTCCCAGGACTTGTCACAGTTTATCCCCACACGTAACACGTTGCATGTATAAATACACACGCACATACAACAGTCTGCATTCTAGTCATTTTCTGCTGCTCACTTTCTGAATAAACTATCATCTGTCACAACTACAAACTCTGGGTAGTTGTTGCTGACTGTAACAACCTTGTGCTTGTCTTGAGTCAAGCACACTTGAAACAGACAAGCTAGGCTTCAAGTTCAGTTCCTCTTTGGAAACAACCCTGACTTCCTAAGTCAACAACTTCCTTTTCTGTGTTTACTTTCTGCATCTGTGCAGAAGAGGTACCTCATATGCACTGAGCTTTTCAAAACACGACCAATACTACACTTCTAAAATATATTAAAAACTCTGCAGAAGATTAAAAGAAAATAATTATACAAAACGTGAGACTCTGCGCCCCAATCCTACTCAATGAGCACCTTCTGTAGGGCGGCCCAAGAGGAGGGAAACGATGAGCTGTTTGCTCAGTCTCAGTTCCCACCAGTATTTCCAAATGATTCTTACTAGTCACTCCAGCACGTAAAGGGAAACATCCGTACACACAGTGGCTCCTAAACGCGTGTGAGCGACTTCATCCGACTCGAGCAAACAGTCAGTAACTGGCAATGTTAGACTTAATGGGAGCTGTGCAGTACTTTATAGCCAGTTTAAGGGCTTTTCAGGGGGTATGTTTGATATAGCCAGTTTAAGGGCTTTTCAGGGGGTATACTTGAATGTTCTAAATAAACCTTAGCATGTTCTAAATAAATACATTTTAATGTATTTTATTCGTGTTGTATTTTCACTAAGATACAGAACTGCTAATGAGCAAATACAGTTGTTTGGGTCACACTTACACATCTAGACTCTACTACTACTATGGCATTTTATGAATATTTTTATTAAGTGAATTAATTACCAGCACCTAAAAGCTCATATATATCTGAGTTAATAATCCAATTTTTGTTGAGTCTTTTTTTTTAACCCCCAGATTGCTACACTCTTTCTATATATGTAGCTGACTCTGGATGCTGGTTTTCCTTCACCCAAATAATTCCTCCTCTATTCCAACATGTCCTTCCCTATTGAGTGGAAACTTTATTGCTTCCCTTCCTCATGCCATCTGCACTGAAACTAGTCTATATCCATGTAACTTTGTTTATCCAAACCTTTTAGGAAAGGTCTTAACTCAGTGAGAACAGATATGAGAACAGACATAATAGTCGTAGGATCAGACCGCTGACCATAAGCCCCACAATTCTGCCAAAAACACGGTTTACAAATAGAGTAACAGAGACTAAAACCAAAATATTTTCAGAATGCAAAAAGAAAATCACGTTTACTCATCTCCCTCTACACCTCCCAGAACCACCCCCACCCCCACCATGTGCACATACACACACAGAGGATTATCTTCATGCAGCAGCAAAAAGAAAGCTCCACAAGGAGATCTACAGTAACAATTTCTCTGGGGGATGGTATTCTGTTGTCTACAACTATTTTAGTAAAGCAAAGCAAATGCGAGCTACTGCTTGGGTAGCACAAAGAACTTCATTAAACAGAACTGAAAACTCATCATTTAGGATAAAAACTGTTAAAAGAAATTCAACTTTAAACTGCTCAACACTTACCTTCGAGGATGATTGGCATCAAACAACGTGTTGTCATCCTCCTCATCATCTTGCTCTAAAGGTGTCAGTTCCATGTTTTCTATGTTAGTGTCCAAAACCCCGTATCTCCTAGTCTTTCGGTTTCTTCTTCTCATCCTATTAAATACAGCATATTAATGAATAAAAATTATTTAAGTGTGGTATGATTTTTATTTTATACTTATTTGTAAATTAAAAATAAATTACTCCAGTTTCTGACACTGAAGGCATTCAGTATAAGAATGGCTACATCTTGGGAATGTAATCAATTAACCATCTAAGATTATTTACTTATTTTTTAAACAAAACCTACTCCTGTATGTCTGGTGCCATCACCATCTGTTCTGCCTGACACACTTTCTTCCCTGTCAGCTGATAATGTTGACAATCTCTTAAGTCTTTGTTCTTGTCCAATAGTTTTACTAAGGCCTTCTATTCCAGCCTTTCTCCCATCTCTTCTGGGCCTTCTTCTTACTTTCTGCCCCTCTAAGAAACTGTATGTATATATGCACTCAAATTCTAGGCTAGGGAGCTTACAATCTCAGCTGCATCGATCAGAATCACCTAGGGTGTTTTTAAGCTCCTCACTTGATCCATCAGTTCAGTCATTCAGTCGTGTCTGACTGTTTGCGACCCCATGGACTGCAGCAAGCTAGACCTCCCTGTCCATCATCAACTCCCAGAGTTTACTCAAACTTATGTTCATTGAGTCAGTGATGCCATCCAACCATTTCATCCTCTGTCGTCCCCTTTTCCTCCCGCCTTCAATCTTTCCCACCATCAGGGTCTTTTCAAATGAGTCAGCTCTTTGCATCAGGTGGCCAAAGTATCCATATCCCCACACAATTGAATTACATATTTTCAGGGCAGAAACTAGGCATCAATAGTTTATTAATGTTCTACAAGTGATTCCAGAGTAATGAAAGCCAATATCCTAGATCACTGGTTCTTAAGCGTGGTCAGTCATCTAAGGGCTTATTAGAAAAACAAATCCTCATGCGTATCTAGACCTACTGAGTAAGAAACTCTGAATTTAGGGCCCAGAAACCCATGTTTGAACAAACGTCCCTTGTGAGTTTGATGCAAACTAAGTTTGAGAATGACTGCCCTAGAGGAAGGAAACTATTTTAGAGTACTAAACATTATTATCTTTATATATATGAAGAGGTCTCATGTTTTAGAATCCTACTCTCTCCTTTCTCAGATAACTTTCCTTTTCCTTCAAATTATTTACCTCCATTTGCATTTATATGTGCTAATTATATACATTTGAGTGTTTATTTGCCTGTCTCTAAGTTCCATGAGGGAGAAACCATGCCTATCTGGTTCACCACTGCATTATGACCTTGTAGCACAGTGTCTGATTAATTCTCCTTAAGTATCTGTTGAAGGTCTGAGTGACATCATATCCTAGCTCAGTGATCCAAATCTGACCTTGATATCAATGCCTAAGTCGCCTCCAATGTAACAACCTCAACTCCACACACAGAAAAATATGCTTCACACAAGTATCTGTAGGAATTTAAAAACAAAACAAAAGATATCCCAGCAAGTGATAACAAATACGTTTACTTAAATTCTGATTCACTTTGTACGAGGTAATAAGCGGGATAAGAAATACTACAAATAGAGCAGCAAGTATATAGCAATACAAGCCTCTATATAAATTATAATGGGGACCCCTAGGAGATAAATGTCTTGCTTAAGACAAGACATATTTGAGTTTCACTAAGTATAGGGTGTTGCGCTAGTTTCTGGATATAAAGTACTTGGCCTAGTGATCAAAATTTAGAAAATATTACTTAAACTCTAGGAAAAATTAAGATAATTTCCACTAATCACTGCTTATAAATCTATCTGCCCACCCAAAGATGGTAGAAGAGAAAACAGAGGTTTAAGTATGGTATTTAAGCTACAAAAATGACCAATGTAAGAATTAATACTAATATAACTAGCAAGAATGAGGTAGATTCATCACCATCCCGGTGATCGTTTGAAGTCTGAGTCTTTTTTGTATAGTGAGAAATTACATGGGTTATGTTGTTAAATTTACAAGCATATATAGGTGTGAATGTATCTATGTCAAACACACACACACACCGCCACCCCCCCCGCCCCCATGCAGACCAGAAATCTAAACTTCTGTAAAGGATTAGACAGTATTTTAGACACTGGAGATCACATATGGTCTCTGTCACACATTCATATTAGTTTCTTTAGTTGTTATTCATCTTAATTTCTTTTGTTGTTACTTTGATTTTTTACAACCCTTTAAAGTTGTAAGACATATCCTAGGCTCATGGGCTTTAAAAAAAAAACAGGTCAGCAGACTGGACTTAGCCTATGGGTCAGTTTACCAATCTCATCTCTAATTTAGACTCATGAACGTAATTCACAGAAAAACTAAGAGCAGAAATGACAAAAGTACTGACACTTTTGTAGGAATAGAAAAGTATAGGGGAGTTATAATTCACCATCGGTAACAGTGGTAAAGAATCCGCCTGCCAATGCAGGAGATACAAGAGACACAGATTAGATCCCTGAGTCTGGAAGATCCCCCAGAGTAGGAAATGGCAACCCACTCCAGTATTCTTGCCTGGATAATCCTATGGACAGAGGAGCCTCATGGGCTACAGTCCGTGGGGTTGCAAAGAGTCAGACATGACTGAGTGACAGAGCACACTCATTGGTCCTTTGGAACCTTGTGATTTAATAACATTTGCATGCATTGCTTTGATTTTAAAAACTGAAAACTTAAGGATGAATTAAGAATACTCAGGGTTTTAAATTCTTCTTTTCTGTTTTGCCAGTCTGTTGCTCAATTTTCTAAATCATATGGCTTTCTAAACATTCTTGCAGTTTTAGCCATGTGAAATTATTTTTGGAAATAAACTAGATTCTTCCAGGTCATTAAATTGTCATATGTTAATAACCAGGCCATCGTCAGTCACAGAATACCTTAGCAAGTCTTTAAAAAGGAAATGATATGAACGTCGATCTTAAGGACTTTTGATAATTATCTCAGCTAACATTCTTCTCCATTTCCAAGATCATCATCATTCCTTGAATGATTTCCCGATCTTTCAATGAGTGGATAACCTAATCTGCCCAATAATGCTATTTTTCTCTTTCTGTGTAAAATGTAAACATTTGACTGCGTTGCTATGAACACTTTATTATTTATTCTAGCTTCTACTGTCTTTTAACATATATAAATGCTACCTTCTGAACATGACTCCAAGCTATTTGATAAGGACCTTTTTCATATGCAAAGAGAGTGCACTCTTTGGTACAAAATAAATTGGGGAATGCAGTTCAATTAAAATAAATTTTGTATTTTAGGAAATGTTACTAATTCACCTAAAAATAAGTCAAATTAAAAAAACAACAACTACATATCATAAAACAGAATTTAAACTTAAAATGAGACTCCCCTAAGAATATCTTTCCTAAGCCCAAAGATATATGCAATAATGGCTACATGGTCATGGCAGCTTTATGGCCATAAAAACATCAAATACAATACATCCATCTGAAGTGATTTTTTTTTTTTTTGTCCTCAGGGAAAGCCAGAAACACTTATAAAGCCTTAATATCGGGCTGATTCAAGGGACCATCTGCTTAAAATACTAATAAACACTAAGTGTAAAATACATATAAAAAATGTATTGACATCTTAAGTAAAAGGCTAATATGCAGTGTACATTATTTTTGAACAAAGGAGTAAAGGAGGATTTAAAATTCATGCAATTTTAACAGCTGTGGTTCTCTACACAAATTATTATTTTAAGCTCACAATGCCCAAACCTGTCTATGTATGTTAATAATTACATATATACCATTATATATGTGTACATTATTTTACCAGAGTAAATGCATAACTGCAATCTGAAAACAAATTTTGTTGGGTCTTAAAAAATGGAACTTTAAATGTGTAGAGAGGAAAATATGTGAGCCTAAGAAAGCAAAAGAAAGTAGTAGTATGGTTTATACTATTGAATTATATTCCTTTATTGCACAGTGATCACAGGTAAATGAGCTTGATCAGATACCTTCTAGATATTCAAGTTATTATTCAAATAGCTGTCTCAACTGAATGCAGATTCCTCAATGTTTCATTATACTCAGGCTGGTAAGAATCATTTCTGTTTAAATAACATGTAAAAGCTACAGTAGAAAAATAAAGTTAAAGTACTAAAGTAAGGTTGATAAAGTTTTATGTAAAAATGTAGGATGCCACATAAAATAAACACAACAGAATAAAACTCCATTTCATTTTACTACTCTGTGAAAGGGAGACAGGCAATCAATGTAACCTGCTACAACCTGCTGCACTGATCTGATTTTCCTGTTTTAACTGAATGCCTGTAGGACATTATTAAGTAAGTTTTTCTATTTAACATTCAAAACTAGACTGAGGAATATAGTATTTAATGGATATTTTATATACATACATTCTCCTATGTGATCAGGTACAATGATAAAGCTGAGTCTAAGTCTTAACGAAGATACAACTAATGATACAAAATTTGCTTTGAGTATTTTGGGGCAAAGTGACCAAGAATGATTTTTGGAACTCATTTTGTTTTCCCACTGAGACATAGCTAAATAAAAATTGGTGAGCCACAATTTCAGTTGTCTATGACAACACAGTATACAACATACAGCAAAAATTATTTTATCTGAAATTTCTCTCATCTTCATCTCTCATTCTTTTTTCTCCTTGCCCCCACTCCATCTATAGCCTTGTCAGACCTAATCTCTTGCAGATTAGTTTCAGAGTTCATATATTATAAGAGTATGGTATGGGGGAGATTTTAGAAAATATCATGAACATCCCCACCAAAATATTACAACTGAGAACAGCATCAAAACATGTATATTATCATATGTGAAACAGATCACCAGCCCAGGTTGGATGCATGACACAAGTGCTCGGGGCTGGTGCACTGGGAAGACCCAGAGGGATGGGATGGGGAGGGAGGCGGGAGGGGGGATCGGGATGGGGAACACATGTAAATCCATGGCCGATTCATGTCAATGTATGGCAAAAACCACTACAATATTGTAATTAGCCTCCAACTAATAAAAATAAATGGAAAAAATTCACTAAAAAT